CCTTCCCTGCGGGAGCTGCTCCGGCTGCCTGGGCAGGGACGCGCTGGGTGGCTCTGCCCTGCCAGCAGCAAAGCTGGCGTCTGGCTCAGGAAGGCTCGGGCGCTGGGCAAGCAGCCCATGGAGCCCTGGCCCAGGAGCTCCCCGGGGAGGGCTGGGGACAGGCAGGCCAGCTCCGAGGCCACGCAAGGCTGCCAGAGCCTGGAGGTGTGCCACCAAGGGCTGCTGGGCTCCCCGGTGCCACCCAGGGCTGGACATGGCTGCTCTCCCCAGGCCCAGCTGGCTCCACGTCCCTGCGGCTGGTGGGTGGAGGCAGCCGATGCGACGGGCGAGTGGAGATCTTCCAGCACGGGACGTGGGGCAGAGTCTGGGATGACCAGTGGGGAATGCAGGAGGCCAGCGTGGTGTGCCGGCAGCTGCGGTGCGGAGAGGCAGAGGCAGCCTACAGCCCCCCGAAGGCTGAGAGAGGGACGGGCCCCGTGGGGCTGCGAGGGGTGCGGTGCGCAGGGCACGAGGCCACCCTGACCCTCTGCAACACCTCCCTGCCCGAGAGTGCCCCGGTGACAGGGATCCTGGCGGACGTGGGGGTCGTTTGCTGGGGTGAGTGGCACCACACGGGCCCCCCAGGCTCTGGGCTGGGTGGGCACCAGCCCCTGACGGCAGCCGGGCTTTCTTCCCGCTGCAGGGAGCCGGCAGGTGCGGCTGGCGAACGGGCCCGGGCGCTGCGCTGGCAGAGTGGAGATCTACTCCCAGGGCAGCTGGGGGACCCTCTGCGATGACGGCTGGGACCTGCCTGATGCCGCCGTCGTTTGCCGCCAGCTGGGCTGCGGGGGGGCAGTGGAGGCGGTTGGCTCTGCTGGGTTCGGGGAAGGCTCGGGGCAGATCTGGCTGGACAACGTGAACTGCTCCGGGGCCGAAGCTGCTCTCTGGGACTGCCCGGCAGGGTCCTGGGGGCAGCACGACTGCGGGCACAAAGAGGACGCGGGAGTCGTCTGCTCAGGTCTGTGCCGGGAGCTGTGGGGGGAGCCCTGTGCCCACGGAGGC